CTTTGGCACAGCAGCATTCAGGGCCCATGTGCCCCTGGCATAGTACCCCATGTCATGTGCCACCCGAGTACCTTGTTGTGTGTGTAGTGCATCTGCCTGCTCTGCCTCCTGCCTTTGGGGAGGAATTCCCATTTACTCCTCTGGCTTCAGCTCTGCCATGTCCTCCACACAGATAGGGCAGCAAGGCTGCATCATGGCAGTGGGATTTGGAAGGAGTCCTTGGTGCTCATGTTTAAGCCACCAGTTACTCAAAGATTTAATGGTTGCTGCTGAGACGTGGCTACCTAAGAGGTAGGGCCCAAAGGTGCACCCTTTGGGTCCAGTGACAGGCTAGTGGCAGGGAGGGCTGCAGTTCACCTCAAATGCCATGCCATTGTCTTGCAGCCGCGCTGGAGAAGCTGGAGGAGCGGTTCAGCACACGGACCCTGTACTTTGTGGCATATTTGTCCTTCGGGCTCGGCACAGGTCTGGCCACACTCTCCAGGAATGTCTATGTGGTGCTGTCGCTGTGTGCTACCTATGGCATCCTCTTTGCCACGCTCTGCACGCTGCCCTACTCCCTGCTGTGTGACTACTACCAGAGCCATGAGGTGAGCCCTGGGCCAGGGAGGGAAGAGGGGCTCCCGTGGCACCTCCAGCCCCCTTACAGTGTGTCCCTCACAGTTTGTAGGCTCACAGGCAGAGGGCACACGGCGTGGGATGGGCGTTGACATCTCCCTGCTGAGCTGCCAGTACTTCCTGGCGCAGATCCTCGTGGCCCTGGCCATGGGACCACTGACAGCAGCTGTGGGCAGTGCCAGCGGTGCCATGTATTTCGCCAGCCTGATGTCCTTCCTAGGCTGTCTCTTCTCCTCCCTCTGTGTCACCTATGAGCTGCCGCCCACCGAGGAGCTGCCTCCCACGGAAGAGCAGCGCCCGCTCTTGCCCCACGCGCGGAACGAATAAATGGGAGAAGCCGCCACAGCCTCTGCTGCCTCTTTGTGTCACGCTCAGCCTCCCCACCGTGGCCCGTTAGGCTCTTGTGCCCCCAGTCCAGCAGCAGTGGGCCTGGCAAACAGCAAGAAGGTCTGCGCTGCTTCGCCAAGCTTTCCCGTGCTCACGGGAGGCGGCAGCACGTGGCACCGCACATCCTTCCGCTGAGGTGGCAAAGGCCTGTCTGTGCCCCCCTTCCCTCCACCTCTGCCATGGTGCCATCATTCCCAGGGGGACAAGTGGTGGTGTCCAGCCTGAGGGAGGGGATCTGGAAGTGTGGTGCATGGGCAGGGTGACCATGATTTCTCAGGTGGCAGCAAGCTGCAGGGCTGCGCGTGCCACTGAGGGCACCGCCATGGGCAGAAGGTGCCATCTCATGGCCAGGCAGAGTGGCCCTGTCCTCGATCACTGTGGCCTTGAGGAGCAGTGGGGCCAACCTGCAGGTCCTGGCCTCTGCCTGTGGTAGGCCTGGCTCTGGAAGAGGCTTTTCAAAACTTTGGAAAGGCTGAGGGTGACTGGTCCTGCTCGCGTGCTGGGAGCGCTCTGCCAAGCCCCGTGTGCTCCTGAGTGGGCAGAGCTTGCACCAGCAGAACTGTTCCAGGAAGCTGCTGTGGGGTGAAACTGCAGCAGCCCAGCTCCCAAACCCTGCTCTGTGAGTTCTGGCTGTGGTTCATGGTGATGGTTGCGTATTTCCTTCCACGTTAGACTCTTAAGACTACGAGGGCTTATGATGAGTTAGCAAGAGGATGGGCAGTTGTCTGTAACCCAGCTTTGGGGAGAAGAGTTTTTGCATCTGTTTCCCTTGGGTAGAAGCTTACTCTCAAAGTTAAGTTGGTAATTTAAGAAAAATCATTTGCGTGAAAGCCTGCAAAACATCGTCCTTGTTTTTTCATACAGTTGTACCTTGAGACAGTCTGCAATCTGCATGGGGATCAGTGACCAAGTACTTGGCAGCTGGAGCTGCATCTTCTGTATCTCACTGAAACTACTAAAATGGTTTTGGGTTCCATTTTGGGTTCTGTGAAAATGCTTACTGTGATTTTGGAAGGTGGTAAATGGGTGAGCTCTCTTACCAGTTAAGCCTGGGAGTCTTTTGAGAGCAAAGGCAAAAATGGAAATAAAGTCAAAACTATTTTTAGGGTCCCTGTTAGCCTGCCTCTCTATTTGGGTAGGCAGCCAAAGTTTACCAAGCCTCATGGGCATTTTGGTACCGTGTGTGCTGTGCATGGCATCCCTGTAGAGGTTATTTTAGGTCCAGAAGAGGGATTTCTCTGGAGGGTCTCTTTTTTGGAATGAGTTCTGCTTGACTTTTTACCTAAGTTCATTCTGATGCTTCGTCTGCGATGCCAAGATGAAACAGCTTGTATAATCTGTAGCTGTTGTGTCTTAGTACACTCCAGTGCTGAAATCATCATGTACAACTCCTAAGAATCTCTCAATCGTCTGCCCCTGAGCATTACTTTTCTTACCTTAGAAGCAAGTCTCATGCTACTCAGCATTTACTTAAGTGGAGGAACATCACTGAAGTTACGAAGTCAAGAACTCAAGAGGTAAAGGACGGTCAGATTGATGAGTCTGTTCACCTTCCTTTTCTTTGTTTGGGCTTATGTAGTGTCGTATCTGCAGGAATATCTGTGACATACCACTTCCTTGATGATGGGACAGCTGTCCCCAAGACTGCTCAGGACAAAGCTAGAACAGAACAGCATAAGAAACTGTGCATTTGGCACTTCTGGTTTCTGACAATCTAAAGACTTTGGAAAGTTGCTTTCGTGTTGCTCTGCTGTGTAACCTTAATTTCTCTTCCTTATCTCACCAAACTTTTAAACTAAAAAATACGTGTGGTTTTTCTTTTGGTCCAGTGTTAAAGTGGTTTATGTTTTGTAGCCAGCATTATTGCACTAAATGGATCATAAGCACTTTCCTTTTCCAGGCAGCTCAAGCTGCAGATCATTTTATTGCAAATGAGGATCTTCAGAAGGTTCTTGATGAAATCAGTGTAGTTGATGGTAACTTTCGTCTTTGCTTCCATCTATATTATGAAATACTTTTATATAGTGATAAAACTATTGCCCCTGTGCATTGCCCAATAGAATATACATGACATTTTCTATTTTATGTGATACAGACTTTATTTTGCAGATATATTTATGCAGTGTTCACATACGTAGGACTTGAAGGTCAACATCAGTGTCTGCTAATTTGGAACTTCAAGCAGTACTGGTGATACCTGGGAAAAACACCAGAGCCTGCCACCACCCTGCAGACTTGGAAGTGATACCAAATCCATAGAAATAACTTTAATAAGAGGCATTACTTACTTGATTACTTTCTTCCTTTTACTACTTTGTGTTTTACAGAACTGACTGCGGTCACTGTTGAGCTGCGAGTGCAAAGTGAGGTTTACCTTTAGGATGTAAACGCTTCAAATACTCTGTCTAAATCTGAGCTGCTGTTTGAGGAGATGCATGAGTTCAGGCAGGAAAGCGATTTTACGCTGTGCTGTAGTTTAATCTCTTCAGTGGTGCCTAAAGGTTAATTTTGATGAAGTTCTTATCATTAAAGGTTGCTTGATGGCGATTATTTGTGGATGTTCATAAATGGATTTAGAACACATGTACAGAAGTAGGGAAAATGGGAAGAGGAACAGAGAAAGAAAGTGTGTTATCAATTGTCTCACGTTTGTAATTAAGCAGCATGTGTCTGCAGTTCACTTGGCCTCTGCCATGTCTCTCAGAAAAGACAACCTAATGATTTTGGAACTCCTGCTGCACCTTTGAATGAAGAGAATGAGTCTCCTCAAACCACATCAAACTTGCATGACTGAATATATATAAAAAGAAAAGCTATATTGGGAACTAGCTGAAGAGAGTTGTCTAGACAGTTTTATTTTGTACTAAGGCACAGTCATCTTGAACTCTATAGGAGATGCATTTTATTTACTAAAACCAGACTTTGTCTTCTGGTAAAAGGTGGCTTCCTTAATGTATATGTTGTCCATCCCTCAGATCGAAAGACTGTGAGAGACTTTTAGATGCCATTAACACAACACCCCGTGGGTTGTATTAAGTACAACATCTTGCGAATTCAGTGACTACTGGAGCACTTGCTCTCTCCCTGTGCAGAATGGTAAATGTGTGGAATAATGAGTATTTTTGGTGTACGCAGCTTGTGCCTCATGGCCCCCTGCAGTGGCAGCCAAGGAGTTTTATGTGAGACCTGACAGGCAACAACATGGGTTAATCAGATGAATTCAGGTGCAGTCTACAGACCGAGAGAAGTCTGCAGTGGGGTTGGTGCAGTATTTGCCAGGTACATAAGGCTCTTGTTTGGTTTTGCCATTTCTAGGATCCAGCAATACCTTTCTTGAACAAAGAGTAACAGATTTTGTTGCAATAGCCGATGGATTGGCCAGCAGAGGAAATCACAGCATCAGAGCACAAACGAAGTTTTGGCTTCCATGAGTGCAGTGCTAACCAAGCTTGCAAGAGCTACTTAAGTAATGAGGGATTTAACTCAAGTGCTATGAAGAATTACTATGCTGGAGATTCAGTCTTCATCTGTAGCTTTCTTCAAGCTCAGCTTTTGCTCTGCATCAGCCCAGTGATACTCTGCTGGCTTACGCTCACTCCTTGTGTGCAGTTGGGGTTTTTTAGCCCACATCTTCTGGGGGACCAGAGGAAGGTGACAGTAATAGCTGAGTAAGTTCAGCAGCTCCTTCCTACCTGGAAAGGAAAGTTCTTGCTCCGTTTGCACTAGCCCTTGCTGTAGGGAGAGTATTTAGTGCAGTGCCTACAGTAACACATCCTTGAACCTTGCAGGGGACCTGGTAGGGAAGAGAAAAGATGAGAAGACCTCACTGTGGGAAGCACGACCTCAACACCAGCAGACTTGGTACTTCTTCAATTTACCTGGCATTATTACTGTGTCTTGCAACAGTAGTGTCTGATGATAATGGTCACTCACCCTGTTGCATTAGAGAGCACCCCCACAGCACGTCAGGATTCAAAAGGACATGAAGCAACTCCTTTCCTGCCTTGTGTATGATTGTGGGATGTTTTATTTAATAACAAATTCATTCTTTTTTCCTTTTTAATAGGAAACTTTCACAAAAGAAACCTTGCACATCCATCTTCCTGTGTTGGAAGCAGAAGGCTCCAAAAAGGAAAGCTGTGTGGTACCTTTAGGTTCTGATAGGAGGAGCAGGGCAGATGCAGACAAGTCCAGAGTAAGCTAGAGAGGAACTTGCTAGAAACCCTGTACCAGAGTATAGCCACTGGTCTGTATAAAGTGTGACTCTCAACATCAGCTGTATGGAAGAATGGGAGAGCGCGTATTAGAAAAGCAATACCACCTTTCACAGCCTCACCCACTTCAGTTCTTAAAGCAGCTTCTCTTTCATCCGTAAGCAGAAATAAAGGCATTCTCAGAATCATGATGTTGTTAAAAGCAAGCAAGTCCCTCTCTTTAGAGTGGTTTTTCTCCTATGTCAGGGCAATTGCACTACAAACCTCAGTGCACAGTGGAAAAGTTGTCTTTGCCTGACCTTTATAGTGAAAGTTACACCAAAGGAAATCCCAAAAAGCAAGAGGTGCATCTAAGGTGGGAGAGACTACAGTGGATTTCTTGTTTCTCAGGTAGGTTCAAATGTGATGCAAGTGGTAAGATCTGCATCCTGCTTCGTGCAAACCTTGCTCCCCCTTTACCCAAGATGGAAATCTTTCCCTTCTGCTTGTAAATGAATGAACAGGCACAGAAACTCTCTGGAGAAACTAAACAGAAACGCAGCTACAGAACCATTTGCATTTGTTTGTGTCAGCCCTCTCCTGGAGCCCTGGACTGTCATGTAACAAATCACTGCCAGGAGCCAAAACACTTGAGTGCAGCAGGCAAATGGAAGTAACCGTGCCACTGCTGCAGAAAGGGCGGCGCTAGAGCGGATGCTGCGCCTTTAGCAAAGGCCATAAATGATCTGGCATGGTTCTGTACCTGCATGGCAGCAGGAAAACCCCTTTTACACCGCAGCAAGAGTAAATGTTGCAGAGCAGGGTTTGGAGAGAGCAGCACAGCCGAACAGAGCGCGCAAATGACACTTTAATGCACTCGGAGGGGCCGGCGGGGCAGGGCGCGATCCCGCTCACGGAGCCCTCGCTCGGGGCCTCTCACGGTTCCTCGCCGGGCACAGCAGAGCCATCCGCGGCCTGCGCGACAGCCTCCTGCGCTCGCCGCCGCCGCAGCCGCTCGGCGCCGGTCACCGTCATGGGGTGGAGCGGCAGGAACCCGGCCAGACCTGCAAGGAGAGGCGGTGAGCAGCGGCCGCCAGCCCCGGGCCCCCGCCCCGGAGCCCGCCCGGGCCTACCCAGGAGCTTCTCAGCGGGGCGGGAGAGCTGCGCGCCGCAGCCCAGCCAGTGCCGCAGCCGCTCCAGGTTGAGCCCCGCCACCTTCTCGCCGTGGCTGTTGGGCAGCGGGTCGAGGCAGCCCAGCTGCTCCAGGTACTTCCCGTCGCGGGGGCGCCGGTTGTGCGCCGCCACGAGGCGGTAGAAGGGCCGGTTGGTGCAGCCGCCCCGGGCGAAGCGGATCACGACGTGGCCGCCGCGGTAGCCCTTGAGGAGGCGGCTGCCTGCGGAGAGAGCGCGGCGGTCACGGGCACGGGGCACGGGACACGGGACACGGGACACGGGACACGGACACGGACACGGACAGGGCCCCGCGGGCCGCGCCCCCGGGCACTTACCGAGCTGCACCATGGCGGCGGCCGGGCCCTCTCTGCGGCGCGGGGTGATGACGTACGACGGACCG